TATGTAGTTACGGCGACGCACTACATATATGTACAGGTACATCCCGTGTTTAAAGTTGCGGCTATTGTGCGGCTCAAGTATTGATGGTAAGATGGCGAATAGCACAAACGCAATGGAAAAAGCGGAAAAAACCGGTCCAAAATACCCTGTATAGAACCCCACGAGAACAACGTTTGCACGTGCATATGGCGAAGAACGGGCACGCTGCGAGTTCCCCCTTGCTGTAGCCAGCTCTTTCCCCTTATCATCAAGAGCCAGTAACGGAAAGTCCACCATCAGGCACCAGGTTAACGTTATTGTTGGGCGTTGCCGTCGCCTCGTTGAGCGGGCCACGTTTCTCTCAAGTATTCTTGAGCTGCAAAAATAGTACATCCTCCATGCTCGCGGACAGGACTACCATGTCCGAAGAAGGCGCCTGCGCATCAAACTAACATGCGGCGCGCTGTTCAAGTTGTAGGCAGAGATTGCGTGCGAGACGTTATCCACAATCAGTTGAAGAAACAGTTCACCAATTTCAAGGGCATTTCAAATGATTAGCTCAGACAGTTAGGTGAACATTAGGTGCGCTCCAGTTTCATATTTACGCATGACATGTACTCCTTTTTTATCGCTCCCTTTCAATCTCTTATCCTAACAAACCATGAACAATTAAAACTTCACACATCCCACAAAGAATTATTTCAAAATTTCTTACTGCGGAAAACATTTTTGGATGGGTACTTAAAAAAACTGTTCGAGATACCAGACCAAAACAGACCTCGTCTACTCGTCTACGCAGGCTGTCGCACTCGTCTTGCTTCCACTCCAGCTCTCCTTCTAACTGTAGCACACGTGCCTTCGCGTCCAGAGTCTCACCGCCGGCCTTTTGAGTCTCCTCTTCGAGGCATCGCAGTTGCTCGTTAAGTGCTTCGTTCGTTCGACGATGCTCAGCGAGTGCCAAATGATGTTGCTCCAACTGGAATTCAACAAGTTATTCTCATGACTAGAAAGTAAGGAAATAGATCATTTCACAATCACCGTGGAAACCCTAATTCCTCCCGAAGAGGAACACAGAGCTTTATCCCATGAGTGGATTGGTAACAAAACATTGTGGTCTAACTAGTTTTGAATGGACTGAAGAGCAGAAAACAAAACTCGTCACTGCTGACGAAAAAACCTATTAAGGTGGGCAGAACAAGGCTTAGATGGGTAAGTTTATGACCACTCAGTCAAGCTCACCATACGGTCTGAATACGGCCTGGGTAGCGACCGTCCTGGTCGGTTCTTCGCAGACGGCTTAGTTGGAAATCGTGCATGAGAGAGGTAGTTTATCCGTGCGATTTTACTTGTAGCTGTGTTCATAAGCTAAAAGGGTCCTCAGGTGTGGTGAAAGCATAGGATGGAGAGGTATAACTATCAGGTAACAACGGAATGAGTTCTACAAAATGTCAATGTGCACTGGATTAGCGACTGATGTGCCTTTGTAGCTAATAGTAAGTCATAATACGGGTCCTACCACGGTGATGTCGCCCCACAGAGACACACTGACGCTGCGAGCGGACTAGACAAAAAGGGCACAGCGTTCCGAGCAATTAGCTACCTATTTTCCTGTTTTCAGGTGATCGTCTTCATCACACAACTGGTGCATGAAAAGAGTTCAGCCAGAATGGCATATATGATCGCAATTTGCTGGGCTGAACTTATATTAAAACGTAACAACAATGGCCGCAGGTTTTACGAAGAGAGAAAGTTGGACATTGCATATTGATCAGTTTTCATTGAAGCAACGTCGCACCTTACAAGGTCTTGTAGCATGGGCAGCATCATTGTTGGGGAGTTTGTCGTGGAAGGTTAATGTGGGAGGGGAAGGGGGGGGGGGGAAGTCGTATTTGTAGGCCGCTTAGGCGCATAAAGTCGCCTGTGCTGTTCTGGGCGAGGGCCTGCGCTCAAGCAAAATGGAAATGGGGAGAGGGGTAATTCCTGCTCGCGAAGAAAATTTGCCAGTAGATTAATGGAGGCCCAGAAGGCAGGGAGTGCCGTACACTAAATGATGCAAATTAAAGGACAATGGATTGAATTCTCGCGCGCTGAGCCAGTTCCATTTTTTGAAAATGCGGCACGCGAATTCAGCGTTCTTCTCAATGACACGGGTGGTCTTATTGAAAGCGATTGCCCGTGTACAGACTTGCCGGGCATGCCGATGAGCAGTGTGTTCTTAAGCCTCATCAGATATGATCCCAGGCACCAGTTCAACCGTCTCCCGAAGGAGGGGGGGGGTGAATACTTGTGCCTGGCTTGGGCGAAGCGCTGATAGCAGTGGATGGCGATCGTCCGGACCACGCGCGTAGCAGAAGCGCCCGTGCCACTACATCACCATTTCCCCGCCTGAGATGGCCAAATAGCGGACACTATATATTTGGAGTTGAATATTCTGTTTCCGCAGGAGAATTTCGTCGTTTCTTGCAAAAATATCATTTCAAATTCCACTACATTAAGAACAATTTATTGTTACTTCTCTTTGTAGATATCGAGTAGGATCGCTAGTAAAGTATCTTGATTAAGAGTGAGGCATCCCGATGATTTTCTGACTACTTCAAAAGGTGGTCTCTCAAAAATGCGGCGTCGTGGCATGCTAACAACAAGTCTCTAGAACTGGCTACTGCGCATGGCGAGACGAAAAGGGGATCCTTTCGTGTTCAAGCGTAGAGAAGCGGTAAGTAGGCCCTATTGTGGTACAGCGTAAGAGTTCTTGGTAATGCCTGGGATTAAGAACAACTTATAGATATCATTACTAAACAAGTCCGACAGTGTTTACCGTTCTGAATGAAAGTCCAAGGAGTACAACCATAGGGTAAAGAATGCCACCCCACTCATCCCTTTGCTTTCTATTATCATCTAATACGTGGATTTCTTAATCAGCGGATGCAGAACGCCTTGAAGCCAATAATTTATCACAGCCACATTCGCTCTGTACAGCATGGTGAATATCACGGAACGCGAGGAGTGTTGGAGAGACTACAAGAATGAGCGGCGGCGTCTCACCAACCATTGGTTCATTACGACAGAGAAGTGTGCAGCCTTCGCTCGCTATAGCTTTTCCGTAAGAGCCCTTTTGATCAGTAAGACTTTTCCGATGAAAAGACCTGAGACCGTCATTAACATCTAGTTTTTTCCGCATGTTTCCTTAATTTGGCATTTTCGCGAAATCCATCTCTTCCTTTCATTCAATTGTCTTAAATGTTACTCACAGACGATTAATAGTGGTCCGACGCACATGCTCGACATTTTGGTCGCGTGCAGATGAACTGGCAGTCTGAAATTATCCGGTCTATAAAAGCCATACTTTGCCACTATACATACTAAACCCTTTTAGCCAACTCCCCTGGACCCTTGCTAGTCGGAAAACTGAGGATTGGTTGATAAAGTGTGAATTTATTGTCAGCGAGTGAGGGGTCAGTCACTAGGATCTTTTTCCTACGGCTTTTGTACACATACCTTCAGAAATTCGGGGTTCTTGCGCTAAGTAATGAAGGTAGCTAGGTCATCAAGCTGCAGGCGGCAGTCTCTTCTAGCCGATCAAAAAACAGTTACGCGTGTACGAAGATATCCATGGTGCTGCTCCGCGCGACCGGGCTACTCCGCCAACATAGCCTAAACGCGCTTACGAGTCTGCTCGCTTCTGCACTTTCTGGCCTTCACTAGCGGAGGCGGAGTGCGTGTACCGTTGCACTATCTCGGTACCTAGCAAGAGCTGCACCTTGAGGATAGCGAACGGATTATGAAGAAAGCCTTCTGGCATACCATACCTCCAGCCCCGTTCTCGTGCACTTTTAAACAGAAATAGTGACATGCTACTACAACTGAGGACCCATACTCGCATATGGCAAGGACCGTCCTTGAAGGTGAGCGTACAGTTTTTTCATTGAAACAGGCAGTTTAGCCGAACACCTGCACTCAACGAAGACAACTCCATCCATGGACAGATTTCATTCTAGATTTACCTGTTGTTCACTCTCGACTAAAGACTTCTCCGTCTCGATCTGCTTCAGTTTAGCATAGATTACATTGTAAGCAGCCTGTAGTTGACTGTAGTACTCGCTGAGCTGAGCATACGCCTTCTCCACCTGCTCTCTGCAAAAAACCATACTTCTATATTCTCTCCGTACATAATTTGTTGATTCAAACATTTAATTTGCTTTGGTTGAAGAGTCATTTGGGATGGTTACGATTTCACTGACAATGAGTGACATGCTCACAAGGAAAGGATGGTTGGTCGAAGTGGCCATTCGAAATGAGATGTATACTGCCCGATGGGCCCTTGGACGCTGATTACAAATCTGCCCTCCATATCTGCTAAACGATTCCCTGGACAAAGTTATGCAGGAATTTTGACCAGGTCACACCCATTTCCAGCATGTATGTGAGGCACACCAAAACCCCCAAATTCGCTGAAATCTGAAATTAGAGGTGGTCTGGTGCTCTGGAAATCAACACTGCAGTCATTTTTCGTGAAAATATCTTGTTAGCATTCTGGAGGGGCAGGGTGTGCAGGGTGTGGCCTTCATTAGTGTTCCGGAATGGCTCCTTTCCTTCAGAGAAAAACATTTTTTGGTAAGATCAGGTCTCCTAGCCCCGCAAAAGTGCTTTTAGGATGTGCAGGGAGCATTTTTGAGAAAATGCAAAACGACAGATCAAGGAAGGATCCGAACCCTTGGACCTTGCACACATGAGGCCGGTCGCTTCTCCACTACGCCATCGGACACGTGTGCATGAGCTCACCCATCATTTAGATACTTGCTGAGCATTGGTGGTCTCGAGCAGTGGTCTGCTCAACAAGCCTCCATAATTCTGCTCGGAGAATCGTTTAGCAGATTTGGAGGGCAGATTTGAAATCAGTGTAGACGCATCAGCCGGTATACATCTCATTTCAAATGACCACTTCGACCAACCATCCTTTCCTGGTCAGTATCACGTCTGGCAGGCTAACTGGGATGAGGGAGATAGAAGGCAGAATAAGAATTGGCCTCAGTAGAGGAAGAACCTCGAAAGGATTTAGACCTCTAAGCCTCTCTAGACCACGGTTAGCACAACGTGGACGATTTGCATCATTCAAGACCTGACTACAGGAAGGATTTTGTGACCTGAAGCTGCACAGACTGTGCCCTTTTCCTAACTGTAGTTTTCAAGGACCGGCAACCCTGTCGCATGACCTGGTCTATCTGTAGCTCGACTTTCTACATATATTCGGACTCTTTCCTTTTGAGGTACTGAATACGACAGTTTATCGAATGGCTTAAAGAAGCAGCCTCGAAACAGCAGGAGATGTCTCACTTCGCGACTGAAGTTGCTTGATAAGAGCGCTGGGACTTAGACGCTTTCACGCCATGGTCTCTTTCCTTTTGTTTTGTACGCTTTCTGTTTATTCGCTGTATGTTCTTATGATAGTTAGAACCGAGAGATGTCTTTTACAGAACGTTTCACTGGTCCTTTCTCCCCTGCTCAATTCACCTTGACATTTTAGAAGCCTTTTTCTTGAGCGTTATCTTCCTTCAGGCATAAAAGATGAACACTCCCCTATCGAAGTTCCATCTCACAATCGCAGGTCTTATTTTACGCATTCTTCTTTTGCGTGTTCACGTTGGATATTTCAGAGAGGCATATAGAAACTATTAGAACCTTCGAGTCTCCATCTCAAGACATTCAGCTAGACGACGATTGCTCTCATTTTCAGCTTCTGCAGCTTGACGGGAAGCCTTTTCTGTCAGTTCAGTCTGAAAGGCGTTGTAAAGAAAACCTCCAATAAGTGACATTTTAATGTGCCTGTATGCCTTAGAATCGCCCTCTTTACCTGCTCTGAAAGCTCACAGTCAAGAGCATCGGCTCTTTTCTTCTCCGCTGCTAGAGAGGAATCCAGCTGTACAACTCGGTCCTGCAGCTGTTCCCGATCGAGTATAGACTGTAACAACGAGGAAGGAATTTTAGGAATAAAGCCCTTTGTAGTTTCTCGGAATAAGACCCAAACTCACCGCTTTTAGCTGGCCATTCAGAGACCAGATTTCGCCTTTGAGAGCCTCGACCGCATTTTCAAGTTCTGTTTTTAACTGCCACATTTTTTCAACATCCTAAAAATAAGACTGGTGTTAGACTGGTTAGGCTGGTTAGAGGGAACTCAGCATGACTCATTTCTACCTGTGTAAGATCGTTCTGCATCTGGCTAGTCTCGTTTATGCACTGTCGTAGAATCAAATTCTCAGCGAACAGATCGTTTCCAGACGGCACAGTTGCCCGAGTAGCTTAAGAGACAAAATAAATTGTTAGGACAAGTAAGATGTTCGGGACAGCTTCCATTATTCAATCTTACTTCCATCGGCCTCCGTTGGCGATGATCCAGGAGGAACGGCCGTTGACTTTGTCTCAGGCGCATTTTTACTCTCAGGTGGTTCAGTGCCAGCCTCCCGATTAGCGTCTAGTCGAACCGATTCCGTTTCACCGACAAGTACACTGGCCACAATCTCAGATGTGGTGCTTGGAGCTCGTAGAAGGGCAGTTTGCTGAAGAAATTCAAACATTCCATATATGAAAACTGCAAACGTGCTGTAAGGTGCTGTTAATTAATGGATGTCTCAGTTGGGTGATGTCAATAGATCGGGCACACAGGAGGTGGAAATGGTGAAAGAAACACTCCAATCACATATTAGCGGCTACGACAGGAACTTTGTAGTATTTTCGAAACATCTTGTTGACTCGACTTGAAAACAGCTGGAACATTTGAAAAAAAATTGGAATTCATCAGCGCAACTCAAGAGCGAGAGAAAAAGAAAATAAACAGCATAGGAATGGATAGAAGCGTCTATGAATTACCTTGAGCTTTCCGGCGCGCAGCTAGACTTGAGAGGGTTGGGGGTGGAGGAGGAGGTGGGCATTTGAACAATCGCTACTTCTCATCGTCGGGTCCACTGCTTCACAACAGTTGATAAGTATTCTTGACAAAAGTTGATGAGTAGTTTCTACAAACTTGGACTGGTACCATTGGAAAATTTCCCACGATTGCAAAGATTTCACAGTTCTCTACTTGTGGCTAGACACAACTATGGGAAATAGCGAAACTGCGATATGCCCCCCCCCCCAAATCGAACTGCGCCGACTCCGCTACGCTGATCCACTAAATTTATCGTTTAGGGTCAAGTAATTTTGGGAAGTAATATAAACGGGGGAAGCCATGTGCGAGATGGGTCTATTGTGACGCGCGCGCGTGCGTCACAACAGACCCATCTCTGCGTCATAGGTAGCAGGTCCTTGAAGGACAGGCCTTCAAAGGTACGTCCTGTCATCGGAACAGGTTGTCATTGGGACACAAATACACATGGCAAAATGACAGCTCACTCAAAAAAAGAAGAAAGAAGGAAAAATCTTCAGGAATGTTTTGGGTATGTTTCCACGCTGAACTAGACGAGAAAGAGGAAAATGAGGTATACTGGAGGAGCTCCAGCTGTTGGTGTCAAAAACATATCAACTGTTTTTCTTTAAAGTTTCCACTCTTATCATTTGAAAAGGAAAACGCTAGTAGCTGAACAACATCTCCACAAAGAAGCCCCGTGACCTTCAATTGTGGTCTGGGGCAGTGGGCGGCGCATTGCCTTCGTCGTAATTGGGTGGCTTGTTGTCACGTATTTTTGAACAGCGAAACTGTTACATTCTCTGTGCTTGCTTGCAGCGCTACGTTGTCCAAGGGCGGCTTCTCCACAATAATGGAACGTGGGACGTGTCTTCAAAGCGTTCAATTGCTGTCAACGGTTCACTGGCGCGTGCGAGACGCTGCGTCTTGGACCGTTAAATCCCTTGAATATAACTTTGGGTAGGCAGACAATCAACAATGTCGTGCGACAGATTATATTCTCCTTTTAGGCTATAGGTACTCATGTTCCCCCCCCCATCTCTGAATGAACATCGTTGAGTCCGGGCGTGCGAAAGGTTGAAAGATGGTAGGAATCGCAATGTTAGGAAAGATCTGGACACCACTCACGTTCGCCCTTGATCGCAATATTGCTTGAAATTGTTAATTCAAAGTCTTTTTCTTTTACCTTTCTTCGTTTAAACGTTGTGATCAGCTATATGTTTGCACTTTGTACTCATACGCTACTTTACTACGTCTGCACTGCAATATAAACGTGGAGTGCGCGGGTTTCTAAAGATGGGTCTGATGTTTAGCATGCCCATCGGCACAAGGCACTTTCGTTGATTGAGAATTTTTCCCAAATGTTATGCTGTTTTCAGGTACATTCAACTAGGTGCAAGCGCTTACCTTTTGTCCGTCAAGAATGTTTTTGTATTCAGATGCCGGTGCAGGCATGAAAAAAGCAAATTGAGAACTCTTTAAGAAATACCTGAACGTGTTCGGCTTCTTGCAGACGGGTGAGTTCACGATGTAGTTGTGCCATTTCTCGCGATTTCTCGTCCAGTGCTCTCTTTAGTTCGTTCACTAGACCCTGACTTTCCGCGAAGTGGTTCTCTGCTTCGGACAATCGCACTTCCATATCCGAAATCGTACGGCGAGCATCTGCCAGTGTGATCGACAATTCTCGCACTTCTTCACTATGTGCTGAAGCGAATTCATTGTTCTGAGGAGGAGACAAAGCCAGAGAAGAAGCGCGAACCTTTATCTATGTCAGAGAAGTGCTCTCGTTCCTGAGCTAAGAAATTCTGCTCTTGAGCAATTTTTTCTGCAGCAGCTTTCAACTGTCGCTGCATCATAACGTTTTGTTCGCGGAGTCCACGGACTTCTGCCATGAGTTCTGCAATCGAACGCGATACTGATGGTCACACCTTCCTAACACAGAATCAGATTTACAAAAGCGGGGCTACAGCTGATTTTGTCGCAGTATGTTTCAATCTGAAGGGGCAGTGTCAAGAATCATGGAAGGACCCACTTACCTTTTCCACCACTGGTTTTTTCTTCCTAAATTGCTCATTAACAAATCACTATTGGTGATAAAACGCAGCTGCAGGGAGGGGGGAGGCATTTTTCCGCCCGACTGACGCCGCCCCGACCGATTACGACGATATTTGATGTTATGAAATCACTACAGTGTAGGCGGGTGATTGCTGATCTAGTGTTTAGCTTTCGGGTCCTCCGTGGGGAATCTAAAATACGTGCTAGTA